AATTCGGCGAGTACCGCGACGAGTTGGTATTGAAGAAATCGAAGACGGAACGCGATGTCCATGTGATCTCCTGTGTTAACCTGCTTCTATCTACGATCTCTACAGACTATCGCACGACACTTGCAACAATTGATCGCCTCACCTCTCACGGAGAGATCACATTTGAACTTTTGTATGCCATTCTTATTCCTCGTACTCTTTTCGTCGCTACATGTGCCATTACGAGCAACACTCGTTTGTTCAAGCTAGTATCTGCCACGCGTATCACATCAGACGGAAAGCCAGTGTACCAACTACAGTGCGAAAGCTACGATCTTGTCGATAGGTTTGGCCAAACCGCCAGCATTGGAAAAGTCTTCACTATGATCCTTCTTCACCCGTTCAAGGGCGCCACCAAAATACAAGACTTAGATATATACCCTCTGAAGTACCATTCCGATGCGGACAAGCTATGCGCGGCCCTACTGATGCGCGGTAAAAAATGGGTTAGTCTAATCGGAATCCATCATATGCAATACAATGGAATTGCTGCATTTAAACGCCCCTCAAAGATTGTAAAGCACAATGTAAGTTTCAGACGGTAATCCATGCATCAATTCATTGACAATATATGCAGGTTGACGGTCGAATTATGGTTGATAGAGGTAATATCAATTTGAAAGCAACTGTATGAACTGCTAAATGTTCCGTTCAACAGACACTTTCCGCCGAATGAATCCCAATTATCATTACCCTCTTGAATACACGACTTCTGCAGTGAGCCCGACTCCGTATGTTCCACTTCCACCTCAATATTCCGCCGAATCTTTACACGGAGCTCATGGGAGACGCCCTCCGCTACCTAACTGTGCGCTCTCTCCATTGCCCCCCATTTTTCCGATTTACGGGAGCCCATTTCCCAACGGTACGTGATCATGGAGAATTGAAACAGCGCTGACCATGTCTACACAGGGTCTTTGGTAAAATCCACCTCTACTAATCAAGCCTCATCGAAAGATGAACTTTCTGACGAAGACTTGATGCTGTCATCGACGGTTGTGTATGGATTTAGTCTTTCTGATAAATTGTGGTGTGCGTGATCGAATTGCTTGATGTCCGTCCCTTTGCGACATCGATTGTAGTAGAATTCGACGTTGAACAAGTCAGACCCGTTGAGTGGAACGAGGACGCATTCGCCAACCTCGTCCTTCCATCGGATCGCAAAGATCTCTTACGCTCTCTTGTTGAAGCTCATCATCGCGAGCTTGGATTTGATGATTTCATCAAGGGCAAGGGACATGGTCTGGTCATTAATCTCTTCGGGCCTCCTGGAGTCGGTAAGTCGAAATCAGGTTTAAGTACAATTCCTGCTCATCTGATTTCGTAGGCAAGACTTTCTCAGCTGAAGCCACCAGCGAGCATGTTAGGCGACCGCTGTATGTGGTTGGCGGAGGCGACCTTGGCACTAGGGCTGCTGACATGGATGTTACACTTGAACGTATCTTCGATGTCGCGACAGCTTGGAAAGCGATTGTTTTGATAGATGAGGTGAGAATCATTCATTTGTTGGGTTTAGGAAGCCTACTCAGGCAATTTTCAGGCTGATATTTTCCTCGAACAACGCTCATTTCATGAGCTAGAGCGTAACGCTATGGTTGCTGTCTTGTGAGTTCTAGTTTCTGCCGTTCAAGGTCACAATCCTGACGTCAGAGAACCAGTCTCCGCCACGTCGAATACTATCGCGGAATTCTTTTCCTGACGACCAATCGTGTTCAAGCCTTTGACGAAGCCTTTCTATCTCGCATTCACGTCGCTCTACACTTCTACGAGCTCAGCCAGGCGTCAAAAGAACAAGTTTGGACTGCCTTCATCGGGAAAATTCGTGTTTCGCATACAGTCACACCAGAGCAGATTAAGGAGCTGGCTAGGCGCAATATCAATGGTAGACAGATTAAAAACGCTGTTCGGACAGCACAGTCACTTGCCCTTGGTCGTGGAGAACCAATTGAATACCGTCATTTTGTGGAGACACTGGAAGCGATGGATGCTTTTACAAAGAAGTTTGAGGATCTCACTGGGAAGGCGATAAACGAGAGCGGTGTCGGATTCAATAACGCACGCCAATTGTATTCATAGTCTGTAAATTTGGATTGGATCTCCAATGGGTAGGGTCACTTGCTCGAGCCGTACCATGCTTGTTAGAGTTACATATTCGGATGTCGATCTCCGTTGATACAAGATGAGCGCCTTCAATTCGGATTCGACGGAGGTCTAGGTTCGACTGCAAACATCCCCTTACCCGCTCTCCTTTAATGAGTATATTAGACACGCATCCCGTTACACTTTTTTCACCCACAACCGTCTGCCGTGTATCACGTCTCATCCGATACTCAATGCTGCCCGGTTACTCAACAATAGAATAAATAATCCAGACACCATGCGAAGCGCACTGCATAAAAGGCATGATGCCGTTCAGCTCATAGTAACATATCATAAACCACTAGAACATGACGATAACGATGGTAAAGCAGACTCGACATATCAGATCCACCCATCTTTTAGACCAGAGGGTAACGAAACACATCATAACATGCCTAGAGCTTGTTGACGGCGGCGGCAGAGACGGTCTGGCCGGAAGCCTTGACGCGCTTGCGGAGCTTAGCGGTAGACTTGTTACCACGGATACCTCCACCCCATTGACGACGGTGCTCCTCATACTTGTCAGAGCTGAATATAGATGTCAACAACTAGATTCTATACAGCGACGATACAAAACGTACAAGTTGGCCTTGGCAGCAGAGACGAGGGTGGCAAGCTCGCGCTGGTCCTCGCTCTTGACATCCTGGAGGGCGACAACGGCAGAAGTCTTCTTGTGAACGACAGTACCGAGACGGGCCTTGCCCTTGACAATCACATAGGGCACACCCATCTTGCGACAAAGAGCAGGCAAGAAGACAACGAGCTCGATGGGGTCAACATCGTGGGCAATGACGACGAGCGAAGCCTTCTTGGCCTCAACGAGAGCGACGATGTGGTTCAGACCGTACTTGACAAAGAGGGGCTTCTTCGACTCCTAGAAGATATCATAGTCAATACCCAAGTGACAAAAAAGTTGAAAAATATACGAACCTTCGCCTCCTTGTTCTCGGCAGCAGCTGTAGCAGCGGCTTCGAGACGAGCCTTCTTCTCCTCCTTGGATTCAGGGCGATACTTATTCAAGAGCTTGAACAGCTGAGTGGCAGTGTTCTTGTCCAAGGTGTGGGAGAACTGGGCGATCGCAGGGGGGACCTTGAGGCGTTGGTTAAGAATAACCTTCTGGCGCTGGAGGCGAACGTATTCGGGCCATTTGACGAAACGAGTGAGGTCAGTGGTGGGACGGATGTCCTGGCCTACGCATGGTTAATATCCCCTTGAACACAAGGGTATCTGGACCTACCGATACCAAAGTTCTTGGGAGTGGCTTCAAAGAGAGGATTCTTCTTAGCCTTGGTGGCCTTGCTTGCACCGAAGGGGGCAGCAGCAGGTTTCTTTCCAGTTCCGGCCTTGGCTTTGGGCTGGTCATTGAGACGAGATCAGCAATGAAACTACACAGAGTTGACATTGCGCCTCGGAGCTCTAGCGTCATGCTTCACAAGGAAGCACGACCCAGTTTCGAAGTCAATCATTGCCTTACGGCTCAAGACTGCCCAAGATATCGACAAGGCGTCAATATCCTGAATAACTGGCACAGTTCTAAGATGATTCGTCAGTTTATGAAACTACGAGGTAATCCAAACTGAGAACTTGCCATCCATCTCATAATTCATCCTTTCGGAGACTTCGAACTGTCGAGACTAGAGCTCGTCGTCGCGAACGTTGAATGCTCACCATTTTGAGTCGCTGGTCTTGAGGAAGTCGACAGGAGAATGTGCTTGAGGGCTTGAGGGAACAGCAGAACAGAGTTTTCAGTCTCTTCCGCTGATCGGCTTTTGCCGAAATTTGATCAGACACGCGTCACATTCCTGATTACAGTGATTTTTATTTGTCCTAGACTCTCAGGCCTTCAGGCCTTCAGGCCTCAAAACGTAGGACTCGTACTTATGTCTTTTTTATTGAATCTTCTTCAATCGCACTCTGTGGCCTGTCCAGCTTCAGGACAGACCTTCAAACGTTATATGGGGGCATAGCTCAGTTGGGAGAGCAGCAGACTGAAGCTTTTCGGCATTTCTGAAGGTCCCGCGTTCAATCCGCGGTGCCCCCATCATTTTGCTTTTTTGTTGGTTCTTTCTACATTTAGAGGGTACCAATGCTCGGCCCTCTCGCTTACACGCAGTTGAGTAGTACCGTGTGACTACCGGGGTATTGTCAGGAGAGCCTCTTAGGCTTGTCCCAGCCCCGGTTCTATGTATAATCCTC